TTTTTTTTTTTTTAATTTTAAAAAAGAAAATATATCATAATCTGTAGACTTTACTATTATAAAGAATATATTTTACCTTTTTGCAGTTATGGCCGCGGGATCCTTGCCTTAAACCTATGAGGTCACGTGTATTCATTAATTTTAACTTAAATATTATATTTATATTTTTTAAAAATTGAAGTACTAAATATAGATAGATATTTCACTGTAAATATGTTATTGTATATTAACTTAAAATTATATGAACTTATAGATTTTAAATTCAGAATTTGATTGTGAGTAATTTTGTGAGAATAGAGATTTGGTTGTATTTATGCATGGTTTTGCTGCTTTATTTATTGAAAAACTTGCATATGCAACTTATTAAAATATTTGAAAATTTGAAGAAGTATATGAAGTGTGAGTTCAGCATTAATTGTTAAAAAAGCATGTAGCTAGATATTAGCGGAAATGAAGATTAATAGTTTAAACTTCAGAAAAGTTATTCTTAATTTCTAACATTACGTATCTGAAATTTCACATATGCATGTTTGAAGTTTGGTACCAACTCTTAGACATGATTGCAAATGTTTGGTTTTGATAAGACAAATTTCTTCAGACTCAAATTAATATTGCAACTTCAATCGTGAATCAGCTATATCTATACTTTATATAACAATTTTAATTAGTATTGTAAAAACTATAAATTTGTTCGTTGTGATATTACTATCTTGCCATATAATGTTCAGAGTCGAGAAAATGACATAAATAGTCCCTCAACTATAGGAGTAGGTCTAAAATGGTCCCTGAACTATACACTTAACGGATTTAGTCCTTCAACTATTCAAAAACTTGTCAATTTTGGTCCCTTAACTATACACTTATCGATTTTAGTCCCTTAACTATAAACTTACTGATTTTAGTCCTTTAAATATTCAAAAACTTATCAAGTTTGGTTTTTGTCCATTTTTTTTAATACAAATAGCTTAGGTTTTTATTAACAGAATCTATGCCTCGAGAAATTAAATCCTTTAGCAACTTTTTCTGTTGGTTCTCTCTCCGTTACCTTTTCTTCAAATTAACCTTACGCGAAGAACCTTAACCTCAACGATTTAAAATAAAATTCATGAGGAAAGAAAATATAAGTCATAATTTTATTCAACAGAGGATAAAATGAAGCATATTATTGTTACTAATGACTTGAATATGTTAAACTTTATTATAAAAAGAAAAAAGTTATTATCCGTTAAATCCAAAGTTTGTACTCCAACGATTTCATTGAACGGAATTTGTTTAATTTTTCAGAAATGGTAATTTATAAAATGGTAGATTTGCAGTTTTTAAACTTTTTTTAAAATAGATCAATTTTATTATTGTATTCATTTTATTTTACGTAAAGAAATTTGAGTAAATTAAATAAAATTTGCATTGATTAGCATGCTGCATGATAAGTTTCTCGAACAAAAACTATCAAAGTTTAGGATGGTGCATACTAAAAACCAAAGTTATTTGTATTTAAAAAATGGACAAAGACCAAACTTGATAAGTTTTTGAATATTTAAAGGACTAAAATCGGTAAATTTATAGTTAAGAGACTAAAATCGGTAAATGTATAGTTAAGGGACCAAAGCTGACAAATTTTTGAATAGTTAAAGGACTAAATCCGTTAAGTGTATAGTTCAGGGACCATTTTAGACCTACTCCTATAGTTGAGGGACTATTTATGTCATTTACTCATTCAGAGTCGAAGCAAGTATTTCAATTTTATGATTTTTTAAATTTTAAAATGGCGATTTTAAGTGAGACGGATATAGTATTTAAGTTTTATGAATTCAATGTTTGATTATTATTATTTTTAATCTTTAAAATATTATATTTTTGAACTTATCATATATACTAATTATCGTAATTTTACTTACTTTTTACGTATAAATTTACATTTAGCATATATCTCACTCTTAATTTATAATCATTATTTGACAAGGAAAAAAATGATTATCCAAAACTTTTTTTAATGATTATTTTGATTTTTAAATGAATGTTACGTGTATCAATTTAATAATAGAAAGTTGTATAACGTGAACCCCGCTTTAACTTCTTTTTTATTATGTCCTTTTTATATAATTGTTATTTAATAAAATAAAATTGTAAATACTATTTAAAAAATTGACAAAAAATCACACTTACAATTTTCATAAGAGACAGGTGATTTGTATGGCTTTGACTTGATCTTATATTATTGGGGGGAAAAAATCTTATTTGATTCCCAAGTTTTATATATATAATTAGTTAATTACTTTGAATTTTGTACAAGTAATATTTCTCTTATTCCGTTATGTTTTTAACTTGGTTTCTGTTGAATATTAAAAAATAAATAAAACGTCATCTTAAGGGGAAATGATAGAATTAGGATAAATTAATTTAACCTTAATAATCACATATTAAGGAAATAATATATATTAATTAATTAATCATGACTAAGAAATAAAGTTTATCTACAAAACATATGAGATACATTCGTTGATTTGAATGGAAAATGTTGATTAGCCAGAACATCACATAAAAAGTAGCATAAGTAAATCTAAATTATGTGTATCCCTACTAGACACTTTCTATTAGTCAAAAGACCGAAAAAGATAATGTGAACATCTATACAATAACTATACATCAGTACAAAAACAAGTTGAGATTCGCTACCTGAACATCCATACTAGACTAGTACAATAATTTTAAATAGGCGTCTGGACATATGATTTGGGATCATGATTTCGTATCCAGATTCTCCAAAACACAGGATTTGAAATTTCAATTATTATTTTTAAATGACTTAACACATTAGTTTATAATTTGAGAAAGAAAACTCATCATTTTAAGTTTTGCGAAATACAACTCACATGTGACGTGAAGTGATTGTTCATACCATGTGAAAGGATTATATTAAAGAACAATTAGTTACTCTCTTCGTTCCATTTTATATGAGGTAGTTTGACTCGGCGCGAAATTTAAGAAAGAAAGAAAGACTTTTAAAACTTGCGGTCTAAAATGAATGATAGAAATTTGTGTGGTTGTAAATCAATTTATTAAGGGTAAAATAAATATTTTATAGTTAAATTGTTACTTAATATAGAAATGTGTCATTCTTTTTTAGACTGACTAGAAAGAAAAGTAAGTTACATAAATTGGGACAGAGGGAGTACTATTATTGTTAACTAGGGTAACTTTATAAAATTATGTATATATGAAAGTTTGTAATCGCAAAGTTTATCTATTTCAATTTATGTAGCACGTATAAAATTAGAAGAGACAACTTAGTTTTGATATAATTTTTAAATATTTTAAGTTGTTGATTATTGTGATTTATAGCACTTTTAACGTAATTTTCAAATAATATATGTCACTCTCTCAGTCCCAATTTATGTGACATAAGTGAAAATTTAAGTCAACCAAATTTTTAATATATTTTAAGTCATTAATTATAAGGATTTATAATACTTTTTAAAATAATTTTCAAATAATATATGTTATCCATCTATTTCGATCTATGTGGCATAGATAAAATTTCGACAGTGGTGTTTGGCCAGTGCTAAGCACAGGCTCAATGTTCTAATGGTAAAACAAAAAAATTATAAAAATTCAAAATTTTAAACTATGATCGTGAATTTAAACATAGAAGTTTTATATTTCATGAAATATAATTTATATATTTGTATTTATATAAAATTATTATAAAACACAATAACTAACCGTTTAAATTATTTAAAATGCATAAAAATGTACCAATAAAAAACTTGATCAACTCTTAAAATTTTAACGGTATCACATAAATTAAGACTGAAAATAAATACATAGCATTTGAGGTACTGGTCACTAAAACTAAGCATTATAAAAAGACATGAAAACATTCACTTTATCAAAATTTACAAGATAAATATTTGTAATAATAATAATAATTAAAAAAGTACATAAGGGTAAGTATACCAAAAATGCCCTTATGATAAGTATAGGGTAAAACGCATTCGATGTATGCGATTTACCAAATACGTGTGAAATGTATTTTTTCTCTTTCGCATGCTCAAGTCTCATATGATATAGGTTTTATAATAAGTACAAGTAGGCCGACATAAGACACGTGTAATTTATCGAGGACATGATTCTAGATAATATGATACTATGAAAGTCGATAATTAGGATAGAACGCTAGTAATAGGTAATCAAGAATTATTTAGTTTTTCGATAAATATTTTCAATTTTGCAAAACCATTATTTTACACGTGGTCAATTATGATTCGGCCACGTCATTAATTAAATCATTTTTAAAAGGGAAAGGCTCAAATATGTCATCGAAAAGGCTCACCTATGCCACCCGTTAAAAGTTTGGCTCACCTATGCCATTTCAGCTAATAAATAATTGCATGGATGAGCTTCTCAAATGTACATGATATAGATGAACCAAACTTTTAACGATGACATAAATAAGCCTTTTCTCAAAGTTCTATGGCATATTTGAGCATTTTCCTTTTATAAAAAGAACATTAAGTTATGCAATTTATCATGCGACACCTTAGGTTTACTTAATTGGTAGGACGGTATAAGCATTAATTATTCTTTTGATAATTTCCACAAGTGGGGTGATTTTCATGTTTATGAGAAAATATAGCTTAAGAAATATATTACCTGTTCAATAAAACTTAACTTCAAATCACTAATTTCAAATAATGTCCAAACGGGCTTAACACAAAGAGTTAGGAAAAAAAATTCTAAAACTTTGGACCAAATGTACAACTACACAAAAACATATTTGCTCCCAACTGGGGAAAGGCTCTAAACAGTCTAAAGCTCACAAGTAAATCTCTAGCAATTGAAATGTAGGAACAAATCTGCACACAAGAAACCCAGTCTTCAGATATGTTGCCTTTCAGTGCTAGAGTCACTAGTAATTGAAAAACCAAAACCATACATTCCGTTCCCGGTTCCAGTAACTTCTAAGATGAAAACTGATGCTGTTTACACACACACCAGAGGAACCGTTGAACTTGCTGTTTCGAGTTCCTGAAAATTCAGAAACCACATACAATATCATGAGAATGAACAGCTACTTTGTTCCAAAGGAAACTATTGAAATGTTAAAATGTGCAATGTGCGATACCATAAACTTAGTTCTAATTAACTTCAAAAATGAGAACCAATGTTTAGACACAAGCCATAGGGACCGCTGAACTAGCTGTTTCGAGTTCCTGAAAATTCATAAAAACATGTGTAAGATCATCAGACTGAATAATTCCTTTGCTCCAAAAGTGCAATTATTGAGATGCTAAATATGCAAATGTCCAGATATAAGTGCTGATGATTGACCAAATATATTTATAGATCGATATCAAAATGCGCAGACATCGGAATCTGACTTCCAAAAAGACCTACATGTATGCATACACCATATACTGCTTTATCAAAAAGAAGACTAATCCAAGATCTAATTCTTAATTGAGAGAAGCAGTCAGCACATCACTATTTCTTACAAGTCATATGGTAAACAGAATAAGAAAGGGGAGAACAGGAGAGTAATCTCTTCTCTTTTTATTTTATTTTATGAAGTAATGATAATATTATTAATAGCACCCATAAGATGCAATTTAGAAAAGGTATGGATTCTATACAAAACTTAAGAAGCCAAGGAAATCCAAGAAAATATCATTTACATCCCAAATTCTTACACCAACAAGAAAGATTTGGAACACATTAGCAGAAAGATCTGAAAGACATTGGCTTCAAAAATGGAATAATTGCTGAGGTCCCCTCAAAGCATCTACTGTTTCGTTTCCACCAAAGAATCCAAAAAATGCAACAAGAAGTGATCTTGCAGTTCTGTTAATAGGACCAAAACAAGTGTGTGATTCTCTTATGTCAAATATATCAATAGTAACAGATAAAAGGAACTGGGCATAAGGTGTGTTCACTCAAATTCTAATCCAAAAATTGGATTATAGTTGACTGAAACTTTTAGTTTACAGATATAGCCACATACCATCTAATGAGCTGCAGGTTTTCACTTCCAAGAGTTCATGGTATGCCCATTTCTATATATAGAGTGAGCCAACTCACTAACATAAGGAAACTGAATTCACTAGGACAAGTTAACTTGGGTCAGTCTTATTCTCATCAAATATGACATTATCTTCATTCAACTCTATCGAAAACTATCATTCTTTTAATAGGTGTATCCCTCTTTGGGCTTCGAAACCATTTAGACCTCTTCTTTTCTTAACTCATCTTTTACAGTTGCTACTCAATGATGGTTTTCAAGTTAGTAGCACCTTGTGAAATAGGAAAGTAATAATTCTGCACATGCTCATTCTCACCTTGCACTCAATAACCAAAAAAGAGATTATTCCCAAGGAGAGTCGAATCTATTCACTCAACTATCTAATAAGATTGAGACCAATTTACTGTAGAGTGACAATTTACACATCTTTTTGGGCCACTTTGACTAGGATGAATCTTCCCCCTTTTTGCTTGATCTAGCTTGTCACTTTCTTTTAAATATCCAACTTCTAATTATTAATCTGAACCTCCGATATGTTATTCTACTATATCTTATACCCCAACTTTTTAACCTGATAGCACAACTAATCCAAGTACTCCAGGGAATCCTCTCTGACATTGACCAAGACAAATCTGCCACAAAAACTCAAAAAGCACTGGTCTACATAACAAAACCTGCTTTAAAAATCCATGAAACATCCTCTTCACATTCTATAGATATGCAAGTATGTTTTCTCCTCCCAAGTGTTTTGAAGTTTTTTAGGCTCAATATAAGTTTCTGTTATCTTTATATACTAACTGGAATCAGCGGTGCATCCAAAATTTGAAGTTTATGGGTTTAAGTTCAGGATTCTGTCATAATCTACTGATTTACTAAGTTTGATGTTGCTGATGCTTGTATCCTCTGCAATGCTTTTGTATAGTTGCCATGTTTCTTCACTGTCATTATACCTTTTCATTACTACTTTAATCTGCTTCACTTGAGCCGAGGGTCTTTAGGAAACAACCTCTCTATCTCCATGAGGTAGGGGTAAGGTCTGCATACACTCTACTCTCCCCAGACCCCACTTTGTGGAATTTCACTGGATATATTGTCGTTGTAGAAATCTGTTATTTGTACTTATCTAGTGGTTCTTTTAAGTTTTAACACATATACAGGGTCTGAGCCAGTCACTAGTTTCAAATGAACTCATAACATACACACAACATCCGCACCCGACTAGAATTTATACTCTTATAAGAATCAATTTCTTCCCTCATTCATTTGCTGCAAAAAAACACAGATACCCATAAGTTTCTTCTGCTGTCATTACATCCTAGTCTAGGTAAAAACTAAAAAGTCAACCTTGAGCTCCAAGCAAATCCAGCTTCAAGTTTGTTCGTTATATTCAGTTGCTTGTATACATTTGAAGTTAATCCATTTGAACATATCCAATGATGAGTTTTACGCCATCTTCATTTATGTAAGTAATTTGTATACATGACACAATGATTATGTAACAGTTCTCCCAGAATCTCTCCGCTTGTAATTTACAGTATGTCCTTGGTAACTTCTTTTTATGATAAAATATAACCTATCTTATAAAATAAATAAAAATCAGTACATGAATACCCCATCAAGAAAAAGAAAAAGAAAGGATAAGAGTTCTCTTTTTTGGGGGGATCAGTTGCTAATTCATTCTTATTACTACTGAAGTGTAAGATATGTCCATTTTTTATTGTAAGTTCACAGAACAACATGAGCACTAAATGACACACTACTTTTACCAGGGCATATCATTAATTCCAGCTGTAACTAGACTATTGGAATTTCTGAAGCCATGTGAAATTCTTAACTATTCGCTTTCGATAGGTCTCTATTTCACTATGATATATGAAAATCTAATGTTTCACAAGATCTTTTGTTTGCTATCTCCAAAGTGCAAGCAATGGCAATTCACAGATTTTCCAAAACCCAGCCTTTAGGTTATAGTTTCACAATGACAAAAACATTCTGAGAAACCCCTTTCCTGGGAAGTCTCACTTTGACATTAAGGATAATTTAACCATAAATCAATTTGAAGAAAAAAAAAACTTTCTAGGTAAATGCCTGTGAGCACATGCAAAAGAACGATCCATGATTATTCATAGAAAAAAGGCAGCTTTTCTAGCAAGATGAATGAGAAGTAAAAAGCCAAACAATATCCACCGTATTTTCTCTTTACAGATTGTCAAAGTTAGGCATAAGGACAGCATTAGCATCTTTTATCTTCCCAAATGTTTGACTTCTACGCTTCTAGAAAGTAGCCTCTGTTACTTGGAATAACTACCTCAGTAGCAGTACAGATAATGAATACACGACAAAAGATGAGATGCTACATTGCAAATACTCTGTTTGGCACAATAAGGAGATCCCTAGGAACCACATAGAGTAGCTAAAGTAATCTTTACACAGAAGGCTTTCTTCACAAATGGCTGTGGCCCCATGTTAAATATAATTTGTGGCTGTTCACTGAATATATTTGTGACATAACAATGTCTGGAGATAATATCAACCAACATTAAAGCAGCCACTGATATTACAGACATTTTCTTGAATGAAACGAAAAATAAAAAGAAAAAAAGAATCCCGTCACCCGAATAAAATAATTTTCTGTCAGCAGGAACATCTTTGCTCCATCCCTTTTCAACTATTTTTACTTTATCTTGGTTTTTGTTTCCAGGCAGATATTTTCGTGAAGGATCTGTACATATATATGGGTGCAAAATGATGTTAATGACGTCAGTTTACTGGGAAAAAGATGCAAAAAGGTGATAAAGAAGGAATCTCCCTTGAGCTGTAGTACCAACTGACATGCTTTTCAAAAGAAAATGTGAAAATAGTATTTCATTTCCTCTACAGATCTTAAATTGAGGTACTTAATAATAGTGCAATCTGGGTAAGATCAAAACTGAGTCTTAGACCAAGGAGAAAAACAAGAGAGGGTAATTTGCAGCCCAAATGCATATTGACCGCCTCTAACCTTCCAGGTTTCCTATCAAGATAACTTTTAGTTTGTCAATGCATCAATATGCACCAAACATATAATTTCTACGCTTCATATTTGATTATATCATTCAAAAACCTTCCAGCAATATGTGTTCAAGTTTTACATTTTATGTCGTTCAGAGCATCTTATTGAAATAATAAACTTGAGAAACCTCCCAATACAAAAGTGGTCAATGACTTATTTCAATTAAATTAACAAATATAAGATTCGCCAATGCAGTAAAACAAGGTTTCATTGATCAATGGATGAAAACCTTCAAGTTTCATGCACAAAATCAAATCCAAAACATCCAATAAGAAACCTATACCACAAAAGTAAAAAACAAGTTGAAAAAATCATTAATTGCTGCATGAAAGGAAGGTTTCCCTGAGAAAAGTTGTACCTGACGCATTTGAGAAACTTCTGGAGTGTTACATACTGGAAGTTTTAAATTGTGCTGATCCTGTTGCTGTAGATCTAGCTTTTCTAATTTCTTTTCATAAAGTGCAAACTCCTCAGGCTTCTCCCACTGTTTGCATGTTTTCAGGCATTCATTGCATTTTGAGGGGCATGGATCAAGTGAGAAAAAAAATTGGACAACTAATGAAATCTTACCCTGCTTTCACACGTTACACAGTTATAATAATATAAGTTTCCATCAGGACAGATATGGTCACTCCATTCACAATCAATGGACTCCACCATCTCAGCATTTAAAGATTTTGCATTGACAGAAGATGCAGCTGATGGCAAAACATTATCTGATCCAACATGAGTGCTGAAAACTGTCTGAGGATTGCTTCTGTTATTTGGAGTCTGCAAAATGCAACAGATACTTGAAACATCTTTTTTTTTTTTGCTTTGTGTCTTTCATTGGTAATTCTGTAATGGGGGTTGCACATTATTCAAATAGGAAAGATCATTTTCTTTGGGATAATAAGATCAAGATCCTTTCTCAAAAAGGCAAAAAAATTAAGCTCGTACAGCACAAAATTAGATGTACTCGCATAAGAAACTTACAGCTCTTGATAGAAATTGTTAGGCCATTCTAATAGTAAGACACGTGTTATGACATGTTGCCATCTACTTAATCAGAAATATTGAACAATAACCTGATTTGGACTCTGGTGATTAGACTGGTTAGTTCCTATATTCCCATTGAATTGCTCATTCATAAGGGATGGCGCCCTGCAAGATGTAAGTTCCACATACGGCAATCAGCAAATAAAAATACGAGAGATGATATACTAAAAGCTAGTCTAATGTACTTTAACCAGAACAGGACTTGCATAAGAAATGCACTGGAAAGAACTGAATGAATAAATAGAATGGGGCCGGATAAGAACAAGTACCTATAGCGACTTGTTACAGAACATACGAGATGCTAGAAAAGATGCCTGAGGGAAGTAGAAGCAGTTTTATAAAAGGCAGAGGCATGAGACGAAGCATGTTATCACACGTGGGGTGAGGCATAAGCCCCAAGGCACAGGACTCATAAGTTCCCTGAATATTTAAATTTTTCCATTTTTATATAAAAACAAAATAAGCATAAACTTACGAAAAAAGTTTAAAACTACATAAGCAATTGTATGAATTTTTTTCATAAGGTAAATAATTTTATTGAAATCGGAAATTCATAATTCCAATAGAGAATACAACTTTTATCATTCATTTGCTAAAGAATTTTGAGGGTCAACATTGCTAATTAGAAATTAGACACATGATTTGCGTAGGAACTGTTGGCCAAGCCCCAAGCGTTAAGCGTGTTTAAGGCTCAAAACCAGGTGCTTCCGGCGTAAGCCTCACAAAACAAAGCCCCACAAGTGAGCCTCAAGGTGTTCTGCAAGCTCGAAGAAGCCTTTAAAACACTGATCATAAACACTTTAACTTTCTCAATCAAGAAAATCTCTGATATCACAATAGGAGAGAAGAGTATCAATTCCATTCTAGTTTCTTAAATTTGTGTTTAACTTTTCATCCTAAATTACTACTACTTTGTTTATTCAGAAAAAGTAATTGACTCATCCTACAAAAAGAGGTACTCCTAAACTAGCAATGGTTGATCCATCCAAAGATAAAGGAAAAATAAAAAAAATCCAAAGAATGGTGCTTACCTCGACTCTCCCACCTTGGGCTTCTTAGGATCTGCAAATCGAATAACCAACGGGTGCTCACATACCTGAACCACAAGCGAATGGAGAAAGGAGATTTGGTTTCAGATCAGAACTAGATATATACATTAATGGTTTAATGCAGGGACTTACTTCAATTATATAGGTGCCATGTAGTGCATTCATAGCCGCAACTGCCATGTCTCTACAAGCAAACCTGATAAAAGCACTTCCTTCAAGGCAACAATAATATTAACATCAAGAAGAAATAGTTGAAATACAAAGCAGACAATCCAGAAGTAGGTGTGCCGACATTATATTTATGTAGAGGCAGCATGAATAATAAGCATGGCACCAAATATAGCAAATGCAACTACACTGTTCAAACAGGTCAAGAAGCACTTGATTAGTAAAATTAAGGAAGATGTACCACCAGCTGAACTGTTGGCAGTATCTAGAGAAGCAGCCATAGCGACAAAGAAATATGTCTAAGGCCTCATATGTTTTCATTAAGATTAAGATGTATGAGCCTGAATGCACATTTGAATGATTAAGATCTTGTCTCTAGATCTAGATCTGAACACTGAATGATTAAGACTGCTTGTTATTAAACATCTGAATATATATTTAATAATAAAAGTATTTTTTAGAAAACAATGTAGTCATCCTTTTTTTTACTTCAAACACACATATTTATGAAGTTGTTTCGAACTTTAGTCAAATAAAAATTTTACAATAAATTTTATCAATTCTTGATAAACAAGCCGCAAAAACAAAAATTAAAAGCTTAAGGAAAATATTTTTGGTAATTAATAAAGTTGAAGAATGAGAGAGGCTCGAATCTTTTTTGAAGAAAAATATATAGAGCACAATTTTTTTTTCAAAACTAAAACCGTCTTTAAAAGGGTCTGAATGAGAATAAGACTCTGTCACGGATCTGATTCATTCAGACCCATTAAGAGATTGTAAGTAAAAAAAACAAACACACTTAATGGCCTAATGTATGAACCATTCAGATTCAGACCTCCATTAAGTGCAAACAAATGAGGCCTAAAACTAGGCACAGTAAGAGAGCATCATTGCAAACTGTTGCCAAATGCAAATACTCCTGCAAATTAGATGCCAAAATAATAATGAGAGAAGATAGTGATTGTTACATACCACGACGTTGTTTTAGTTCATCAACAATTAAGTAGATTTCTTCAACAATCCCATATGGAGAAAATACCTGCCAGCAAAGGCGTACATACTAATTCAAAACTTTTCCATTGGCTCAAAAGTGAAACAGATAGTACCGTCTCTTATCTGTGACTTCGTTTGACAGTGTATAATAGATCAAGGATTTAATTGCACTTCATACAATATTTATAGAGGTAATGAAATGAGCAATTACTAATAGGAGGACACAATATCATGATATGAACTCATCTTTCAAACATCAGAACGGAATAAAGCTTGTTATTTGGCATAGTTTATGATGCAGTTTACTAAATCCTAAATCAAAAAATGTGCCAGGTAAAAGTGGGACGGAGCAAGTTCTAATCTTCATCAGCTATATCCTCTAGATGAAAATTACAATTGATAAACCCATACTAATGACATTACTGCAAAAGTAGTTGCTACATATTGCTTCATCCAATGGCACTAAGTACACAAAAGCTTGAGTTTGTGCCCAATAAATATTATCTATAGATACAAGAATCGAAGCATGAGACATGCAGATTCTCTCTCTCTCTCTCTCTCACACACATACACACACACACAGAGAACAGAGAATGGACAAATTGAACATAGAGTAACAGCAAAAACTGAAGGAGCAAAAGGAAGATAGAGTCTAGATGTCTTGGTTAAACGCATATATGTGGAGCATACATGCTCAATTTCATTTTTGGAAGCTTGTTTCCTCAGACCACCAACATAAAGTTTCTGAGTGTGTTCGGTCAAGATTCCTACAATATGAGAAAAAGGAGGTAAAAATGGAGATAAAAATAATAAAGCATTGGAAATAAACACAGAGAGGCACAACGAAATAACTTAAAATTCAGACTGGTATACACTTGAGAAAATATCCCATGTCAATTCAACAAAAATATTTTGAACTTCCCAAGAATTAGTCTGTTTACTATTATTCTTAATATTTATTTATTTTTGATAAGGTACTATTATTATTCTTAATATTGTTTAGTACAGTGAAACAGTCTTATCCTTACTACGTGTTTTCCTGGAAAATAAAATTGCAGTCATACACGAAGCTTAACATAGCAGGTGGGGAGTGAGTTTGGTGGATAATGTAAATAGTGGAAGGGTTCTAATTTGCTTTGGTTAAAATTTGACAAAGCATATGATAACTATATTATATTTTATAAATTTAAACAGAGATAGTGAAAAATTACCAAGACGATCACGTTCCCCATCAGCATACCTAACTGTTAAGGGAAACTCACCCTGCAAAGCAAGAAATATAAACAAACCAAGTAAGAGGAGATCAATAATTTCTTGAGAGGGTAAATCATTTTAACTTCATAACAGAGAAGGAAACTAACCCCAGGGAAAGTATATCGACCATTGAATGCTACAATAGCCCTATTAGCTTCATCTAGCGTTCTATACTTCACAAAACAGCATTCTGCAGAGTAAATCATTATTCATTTTTGTTCTTCTTAAAGAAAAACAATTCATTTTTATTCTGATACCTATACTTTGTCAAATAGATAATATTATACTTCCAGATGATACATGTGCAGGGAATATAGTGAACATAAACAACAACAACCCAGTGTGGTCCCACAAGTGGGGTTTGGGGTGAGTGGGGTTTACCATTTACGTAGACCTTACCCCTGCCTTTGTGGGGTAGAGAGGCTGTTTCACAGAGGGGAAAAAGATTAAATCCTGGTAGTTTAAATGATTCACAATATTTAAATTGAATTTAACTGCTTTGAACTACTTTAGTAATACAGAACCCAGTACAGATGACAGGACATTTGATTAACCAACATCACCAATGTAAACTACAACTAGTACACTAGACAGATAGCCTGGCAACTGCAATTGTTACAACATTCCTCTACCTTTCCTCAGACCGGTGCCTTTATCCGTGAGACGAACAAACTCAACAATGTGCCCATGTGCAGCAAAAACAGACCGGACCTGAATTGAAAGAGCGTGCATCAATATGTAGGGATATTTTCAAAATGCCCAGATAATGAACATAGTCAAACACGGAATCTGCAAGCACTTGAGTGATGAAAATTCAATTTTTTAACATCCCGTTGAAATGGAACGTAACTGGATAATTGGACAGGGAAAGCCTGTACATATTGATTCGGACCGAAGCTAGTGGTTAACGGATTCTACCTACACGAATGGATATCTATTACTTTTCTGTACATATTATTTGGAAACATTAGTTGACGCCTACTACTTTGGCATTGAGGTGGTGTTGATTAATTATAATTGAATACCAGGATACTATATAATATCCATTTGATGTGGTTAATCCAAGACAAATGAAGTATCTATGTATACCATAGGATACCTAGAATTCACAAAGATTAAGGAGTAAAAAATGAATAACGGAAAGTCAATAACTAGACATCACTCCCTCCAAAGAGACAGGAAAGCAAGAGAAAGTGATCAACTTACAATTAAGGTAGGTTTAATCATTGTTGGTACATGTTTTTGATAAGTAAAAAACTTCCATTGATAATCACCAAGTTAGTGTTAAAAAATATGTGCAAGATGTGTGTGGCTATACTCGAGTAATACATTGTCTTAAACATACATTTGTATAGTGTCCTCAGGAGTATCTTCATTTGGTTAGAGATTTGTATGTCAACGTAGGTTAGATGTGAGATTTCAAGTATCTCTATGTTTATAAACATTTATTCTGTCCTAAAAACCCAATTATTAGGCATTGGGATGAAGGCCTGGATAATTGAAGCAGAATGTATAGAGGCTTTATATGGCCAACCTCAATGTATAGAGGCTTTATATGGCCAACCTCAACTACTTTGGGGTCGAGACAAATAGTAGACATTCTTGTTGTTGTTGTTGTTACTATCTAAGCTCTAATTAAAAGCCTCAAGTCTCACTCTTAAGCATAACTAATAGGCAATAGCACATAGAATCCCACTTATTCAATGCAACTAAATAGCAACATAACATGGAAAAAAGAGATCATTTTTCTGAATACTCAATTGTAAGACTTACATCTTCTTCTTCTGCTGGCCTTGGAACTCCTACAACATAGAGTTTCACAAAACTGCCACAATCCAGAAAGTCTAAACAAACAAAATGCAGCAGTGTTACTTGGGAAATCCTGCTATAAATACTCAGTAAAATATACAAACTTTCCCTTTGCATCCGGAAATTCAACTAACTGAAATTACCAGCATTTTAGAATGTGTCTTTTCACCAATTTTATACAAGGTAAATTGCAACTCACAATACTCTATTGCGGTCAATTAAGTGATCGAAAATCATAAAGTCTCTGATTCAAATCCCAGCAAAGACAAAAAATACCAGGTGATTTCTTCTTATTTATCGTGGTCTGGTGAAAGGTTGGCGAAAGGTGACACGTATCATGTGGAATTAGTCGAGGTGGCAACTCTTTACTATAGTTTCCCCATATTTAATTTTTTTTTAAACAAAATTATCAAGTCTCTCAAAAGTTAATCAAATTCACTCACGATAAGCAAAAGTGTCAAACAAATTAGGAATGAGAGATTATTTAATCGTTGGGAGAAGAACAGTGCTTTGTACCAGAGCTTGCTTGATCGAAAGGTCTCTTACGAGCCGGAAAAGGCGCGGAACCACCGAAGTTTTGCTCAAAATTCGGATTCCGATGGTGATGCTGGTGATGTTGCCGGCGATTGTAGTGATTGCCGTCGCCGGGAAAGTTTCTTCTGTTATTGTCTAAGTTCCCATCATTACGAGAGATAGAGTCGTCGGAAGGCCAATTCGGCGGTGCAGGATGAGGGTTCCGGTGAAATTCCGGCTGGATTCCCCGGCGTTCTCCGTTCCTCTGGTCCATTGAACATCAATTGTAAAATTGATTATTTGAACTTTTTATATATATTACTGGTAAAATTACTCATGCTTCGCGTGATAATTTAATATCAAGTAATTTATAAAATGGAAAAGAGTTAAAAATTGTCGTTGAACTATGCAAAATAGATCACTTATACCCTTCGTTATATTTTGAGATAAAAAATACCCGCGATGTTATCCCTAGGGACCACAAATACCCCTCAAAAGTTAACAACTCAAATTGTTAATGACGTGGCAAGCCATGTGAAACTAATCTCTCTACCTAAGCCGCCAACTAAGATTTCCACTAACCCATTCTTGCTAACTATCAATTCATCCTCCCAAATCTAACAGTATTTGGGATACGAAATTTCGTTTACATTATGGAAACACTATCTCCAGTATTTGCTAACCCAATTTTAACTCTCCAATATTTGTTTGATTATTGTACGAATTAAAGCAATCTAAATTTTGAGAGGTTCAAAATTTAGATTTGTATGACATACATGCATCTTCTGTATGTATGAGGGGAATATACGGCCAGATGATTTTAACTTTGTTCTTGTTTTTTGTTGGATAATACAATTTTAGGAGATTTAGATTTTAAAAAAAAAGTAAAAAAAAGTAAGTGTTAATCCTAGTTGGCAGCTTAGATGGAAGGATCAATCACACATGGCTTGTCATGTCATTAAAAAAATTGGGTTGTTAACTCTTTAGGCGTATTTGTCGTCTCTAGAGATAACAATGAGGGTATTTTTTAACTCAAAATGTAATGGATGGTATAAGTGATCTATTTTGCATAGTTCAGGGGCAATTTTGACCATTTTTCGTTTATAAAATAATACTTAAAATCTGGCCGGCATTAAAACTAAAACACCATATTCCCTTTGTCCCTAATTACTTGTCCAATTTTCCTTTTATAGTTGTCCTTAATTACTTGTTCATTTTGACAAATCAAGAAAGGACAATTTTTTTTACTTATTATACTCTTAATTAATTACTTTGAAAAATGTAGAACTTTTTTAAAATCTTAAATTTTTAATTCATCTACTTCATAATTAATAGGGTAAAATGGTAAACTCACTATGTTAATTATTGTTTTCTTAATAGGTGTGTCAATTCAAAGTGGACAAATAATTAGGGATAGAGGGAGTATTATCTTACATATAAGATTACGTAGTAACAAACATTGATAATGTAAAGGAAAATGAAAATTATTACACCTTATCATTTATCCTTGATAACATAAGCATATATTAATGACTATAAAAATACATATATTTAACATAAGAAACGGTGTCAGTGAGTCACTCAACAGGAGCAACGTACACAAATATTTAATTGTGAAGAAGAAGAAGATGTTCAAAAATTTTGTTGTTTTAAAATGAGAGGGAAATCCCTCTATTTATAGACAACAAAGGGTAGTGTGAACAAATATTTATTGTGCCTTATCAGAAAGGTTACAACTATTTGAAAAAGTTGCAACCCTTCGAAAAGGTCACAACATTTCATAAAAGTCACAATTTTTCATAAAAGTCTAGGAGTGGCTTGGCTCCATGGCTTTAAAAATGAGGCATATGCCTTAGGCCCCCAAAATCGAAGGGCCTAATTTTTTAGTAATCAAGCTTTTTTTAACAAAAAAAACATAAAGAATGTTTTAATTTGTTTCGAAACATTAAAGAATATTTTTTATGGATCAATTTTTAAATTTAACTTCCATATGATATGTTTAAAACCACAAGATTAAAAAATGTTTTGGTATATATATATCTTTAGTTTAAGATCATAAAAAGAAAAACTTTTTTTTATTAAAAAGAAAGAAATAACTTGAATTTCATATATAAAAAAATAATTAAAATTTTGGCCTTCAACTTATTTTTGGCTTTAAGCCACTAATTAGCTTGAGCCGTCACTGTAAAAGTTGCAACTCTTCATTAAAGTCGTAGCTTTTTTATAAAAGTCACAACTTTTCATAAAAATTGCAATTTTTCATAAAAGGGGAATGCTAGTTTTGGAAATAAATAAATTAAAAAGAAATTTTGATTTGTGGTGGCGTCATGTAGGCGGGCCTAAGGTTCTCTTATATATATATATATATATAAAATATGATTTTTAATAGAGAACTATTAATAAAAAATTTAATGTTTATTTTAGTAATTTTATTTTATTTAAAAAAAAAACACTCTTTCCATATGCATTAACGAATAACTCAAATAGAAAAAAGTATTATTGAATTATTGGTATGAAATTATCAACTAGGATTTAAGAATGGTTTGAAATTTGTATAAAATAAAAGGGAAAATTGTATAAAATAGCAAACTATTAATTCAAATTAAATGCTATAATCACAGTTTGATTTAATTGTAACCCGTAGCAAACTGTTGCCATTTCGCCTCTCTCCCTTAATTTCTCGCTCGCCACTCTCGTTTCTCGCTGGGCAGTCTCTCCTCGCCTCTCTCACTTTATACAAACACAAATGTATAAAATGTGTTTGTATAAAGCGAGAGAAAGTTGTATATATACATATCTTTTCGTTCCCCTCTCTCCCCTTTCCCAGATCTCGCTCGCCACTCTCACTTGCCTCTCACTTTATACAAACACAAATGTATAAATTTTGTTTGTGTTTGTATAAAGCGAAGAAAACTGTATATACAAATACATATATTTTCGTCCTATATACTTATGATTATACAAATACAGATCTTCCCCTGCCCAGTTTTCTTTTGTCTTTCTCTCTTTCTCGCTTTATACAAACATAGATTATACAATTGATTCTTTTGTATATGTATATGAAACAAATTATACAATTGCTTCTTTTGTATATGTATAGCGAAATATACATATTATTAACCATAGCAAACATAAAGTTTGTTATGGAGTGCAATTATGCAAACTATAGTTATAACATACAAATATATTTTTATATTTGCTATGTGTGACAGTTGCTCTAAATTAAAAGGGACTTATCAATTTGAGAATGAATAATTTAATTTTTACATTGAAAAGATCGATAATTGATTAACTTATTTATTTATATTTCCCTCGCCTTTCGCTCTCAAACTAATAGTCTTACTTCACTTTAAATTCTTTTACCCCAAAACATTTTTCTCCGTTCGTTACTTAGCCCAATTATCATTATCATCGTCTATGATTATATTATTTGTCATTCGCAATATATGATATTTTCTTTGTTTCAATTCATGTTTTTTTTCAGTTCGTTAAAAAAAACATCCCTTTTCCTTATTGACAAGTTTTTAATTTTAACATTCCATCTAACATATTTGAAATTACAAAATTAAAAAATATTTCTTGTAATAAATTTTTGTGTGTTTTTAGTTTGTGATTTTTTAAATGCATCTCTATATTAAAAAGTGTTCCTAATAAAGAGTGAAATACACTACATCACATAATAGATTAAGGGGTATTAAATTGCTGGGCAAGTTGGCAACAAGTCAAGCATTTTACCCCACTTCATTGTCACTCTCATTTATTGCATATATATAAAATTAATTATATAATAAAAATATAAAATAATTATGTATTAATGATTTCCTTGTTGCAATTATATGATGTGGTTAATGAATAGTACATGGTACTAAATTTTATAAGTAGAGCCTATGGACATAAGTTTTCAAAAAATAATGAAGAAAATAGGGTAAATATACTCCTTTGTTCGACAATAGTTATTCATTATACTATTTTAGAATATCTAATAATATTTGTCTTCTTTATGAAATTAATAATTAATTTTATATTTAGTTCTTAATTTACCCTTATCATTAATTATAGTCATTTTTCTATTAAATTTTCCAAGACATTGTATTTATTACTCCCTCTTTTCGCTTTTACTTGTCACATTTTGACTTGACACAATCATTAAGAATGTTTATTGATATAGGTATTTTACCAAACTATCTCTATTAAATTATGTTTAGTATTATGTCTTGAAAAATGATTTGAAGAAAGCGTATTTAACACCGAGGGTAAACATGTTAAAATATTAGTTATTGACTATTGTCTTTTCTTGATATGTCAAAAGTGATAAGTAAAAAATAAATAAATTTATTTTAGGAAAAAGTGACAAGTAAAAGTGAATGAAAGTAGTATATTCGAAGGTTAATATAGTAAAATTATTTTTCTATATATAGTTTCTTAAAAAGTATACAAGTTAATAGTAGATAGATATTGTTAGACAAATGGAGCAGAATGCTAACATCAAATTAATAAAGTTAATTTGAGCATTTAAATATCTAAGCGAAAATACATGACACTATTAGAGGATTATGTACAATATATGATTTTAACATTAGATATAAGTAATTTCTTCGTATTAAATTATCCGTTCTAATTTTTAAAATAGTTGTTTTAAACTATTTACTATTTAAACAATTAAGACAAAATTGATCGATTTTTTTATTTATATCCTTAATAGTAAATGTACTTAAAGACTACAAACACATAATAGAGTAAATATTTGATGAAAATAAATTATATCGTAAGACACAAATAAAGTAAAATAATCAAAATTTCCTCCTAATTAATATTTGTAAGAGGCATGTGAAAAAAAATGATAAATAATTTAAGATAGAGGCATGTGATCGTTTAAGATAAAAAATGCCACTTTCTATTATAATTTAAAGCAATAAATCATATATAATGTTGTAATTTTAGTCTCAATTGAAACTAAATTGTGTAGAGTAAGATTATAAAGTGTTTAAGACAAGAAGAGGTTTGTACGACTTAAACATGTGTGGAGATATCTATAATATTGTCTTTTTTCTTTTTTATTATTTTATTTATCTTTTTATATTTTACTCGGAATGATATTGATTATGCTCCACGAAAATCTAATTTCAATTTATATTCAGTTCGAAATTCAGATTGAAGTATAATATTTTTTTTTATATATGATCATTCTATATCAAGAATATATATCTTTCCTATAAAATTAATTTATATATATTTGTCTAATAATTTATCTTGTTTTTTCTTCTTACATATACTTAT